AAACATGAGCTGGACTCCCTAGCAAAAGTGGGCACTGTTTAGTCTCTGTGGTCAAATTAGTATACTGTTAAACTTTCAAAATGGATCTGAATGATATTGCAGTTTTGTAATTATCCAAATATCCCTTGAATTAGACGAGATTAGCTATAGTTAACCTAACTAAATCGACTTTTCTGAATGTATTTGAAAGGAGATAACAGAAAAGGAGACAGGAGATGAGTTCCTATTGTACAGGTGGTGAAGCACTTAGAGCTCTTCGTGGGGTTCCTTCACGACTTCCTTTTCTTTGTCCACCTCAGGCTAAATAAAAGGAACATGTGTGTAAAAGTAACTTAATAAAGCACTCACCATTTCTTGTGGTGAATCTGCTGTCTTTTTCGCTTCTTCCTCAGCCCTTTCACGAATCAACTGATCAAAGTTGGATGACTAGAGAGAAGGTAAAATTTTAGTAAATAGTTGAAGCTTACTGTTTCAAAGAAGCGCGGAGACTCTTCGTCAGATGTATCCTTCTTGGTTTCCTTTTCAGCCTCAAATCTGAGTCTCCAGTACTTGGCATGAGCTTCACACTCACTCGGATCATCAGTGACAATGAAGTTGCTGAATAGAGTACCCGATTGTACTTGCCAGAGATCAATGCCAATGTACGCAAAGGTGCGTGAATACAAGTAAGGATCATCAACAAAATCAGGATTGGGAATTTGAGGTGCTTTCCATGGTCCTTTGTAGGCAGGGTTGGGAATACGTTTGGGATACCATTCACCCTTGTACTCTGGGTTGTCAATAATTGGCGGTGACCAGTCTCCATCTGTCTCATCATTCCAGTCGTCTGGTTTAGTTGCGGTCATGTCGACAATGGTTTTAGGTTTATCCCAGCCATCGGGTTTTTTGTCGTCTGGATCGGAAATCATTACTTCATCCACCCAGTCCTCGGGTTTTTTCGACTCTGGGTCGTCAATCGTGCGTGGTTTGAGCATTTCAAAGTCATCCACCAAGGATCCATTTCTCCTAATTTCTTCATCCACTTTTACTTGAAAGGTGTTGTTGGGGTAAACAGTAAGCGTGAAGAGGTGCGTGATATTGTCCAAGGAAAATGGGATGGAGTCTTTAATCAAATGATTCTTTCCTTCATAAGAGAAGATAAGATGTACAAGCCGAGTTGAGTACCCGCAAAAGTCGGGACCTAGACAATGAAAGGGAGTTGACTAGATCTTTCAGCTTACCGAACATGATTTCATAGGGTGTTTCGCCAGTAAATTCCTTTGGATTGAACTCTTTCCCTAGTAATTTAATGTACCCACCGGCACAGTCCATTCCCTGCTCATACTTAACACTAAACTGGACGCACATAATCTTGTCCTTATTTGAGAATGCTTTTTTAAAGGGTGCTGAATAGCGATAGAACCGTGCCGCCTCTGTGGTATTCATTCCACCACCTCCCTCCTCGCCAAAGGTGGGATCAGGCTTGGCAAACTCAAATTTCCCTAGCTTCTCGGCTTCAGCCTCAGAAATCGTCCACCTTTCAATAGTGCCTAGAGGTAAGTCGGTACCCACAAAATATCATTCACTTACCGTCAAGGAAGCGATCTTCGAAGTAGATCTCAGACACGACTGTGGTGAGACAAACAGCCAGAAGCAATGCTAGTATAGAGTGCATAATTCAGGAGCAGGAATAGGTGTCTGGTATGATGAACAGCACCGCTTATATGTGTAGCCGACTCAACCTAAGGCGATGCCACATGGATTTGAGCAATTGGTTCAACTCATGTTGGCACGCGGTGATTGGCGCGTACGAGGCTATCGGTTGTGCTGAGGTTACACGTGGCTCTTCACTTCTCGACTAGTGCATCCCATAGAGGTACGTTCTTCAGCGTTGAAGCCACTTTCCTTTCAAATGCTATGATCCCTTTTAAGCGCAATTTTTGAGGAGGTGTTCAAACATGGTATCTTCTTTATTTATCAAGTGCACACCTTCTTATTGGAAAAGCACTGATGGATGAATACTTCCAGTTAAGGAAAGCAGTGGTAAATTGTAGAGCTGGTCAACCCGAAATGCCGCCTGAGAACGCACAGCCGAAGGCCAACACCTTGGATTTGGCTGGCAGGTCTCCACGTGACGATCAACTTCCTCGATGTAATCTTGATCCGAGTAAGTTACTCATCGCGTAACCAACCACCACTTTGTGGTACTAAGACGCCCTATCTGAAACAGTCTTAGCGTTTAAACTGCTCATCAACCATACAACACATTTGGAGTGGGCCCACACCGTAGTGCCATTTCTGCTCTGCGACACATCCTCACACGTCTGGGCAAAGTGATATGCTTTAAATCTCATCAGTCTGCTATAAGTTCCTCCCTTAGGATAACACTGCCAAACATCACAAGATACTTGCCCGACAGCCACGGAGGAATACCCAAATACGGTTCAAATCCTAAGCCGATTTCTCAGCAGAAGAGCACACCAAAAGTGCTACCGAAAGTCACGGCGGTTACCGCTCTAACGAAAGAAAAGGGGAGAGCTACCACAATCTATGAGAACAGCTGGTTCTTAAATTACGCTAAGCAACGCAGCGCACCATTTAAACGTCCCTAGGACAGACAATGTCAAGGCAGCCGTTAAACAAAGATTTTTTACTTCCGTAATCATGAAGCCGTTCGATAATGGATAACAACATCGGTGGTAACAGGTAACCACAGACCCACTTAGCAGTAATGTAAATGCGTAAAGCACATACAAAAAGAAATCAGGCAAACAACTACAATTCATCCTTCGGAGAAGCATCGCTTCCCTCCTCGAGATCCACTTCCTCATCCTCACTCTCCGACAAACCACTGGTGGTGGAGGAGTCCTAGAACAGCAGCTCAGATAAGCAAGAGGTGAAATCACATTACCTTATCCTTATCCTCAAAACTCTTCTTCTCCTGCTCCTCTTCAAATGCAAATCGTTTTTGCCAATACTCAGCGTGAGCTTGGCACTCAAACACATCGTCCGAAACGATGAAATTATCGAAAATTGTCCCAGATTTCACCTGCCAGAGATCAAGACCAATATGAGAAAATGTGCGAGCGTAAAGTTCGTTGTCCTCAAAGTAATCTGGATTAGGAATCTGTGGAGGCTTCCACTCTCCCTTATAGGCGGGATTCGGTATCATCTTAGGATGCCATTCACCCTTGTAATCAGGGTTATCGATCATAGGAGCCGTCCACTCGCCATCCGTTTCTTCGTTCCAGTCCTCTGGTTGTTTTGCGTTAGTATCAACAATGGTCTTGGGCTGATCCCAATCATCGGGCTTCTTATCGTCAGGATCGGGGATTTCTGCCTCATCTACCCAGTCTTCCGGTTTTTTAGCATCAGGATCCTAAAGTAGACTTAATTAACCTGGAAAAACGGTATTTACATCAATTGTTTTTGGAGGGATCATATCGAAGTCGGTAACAAGAGAACCGGTCTCAACAGTCTTGTTATCAATCAAGACTTCAAACGTGTTATCAGGGCGAACGATAAGTGTATACAAATGGATAAGTGTGTCTGACTTGCATGGAATGTCTCTTTTTACGAGATAATTCTTGCCCTTATAGGAGAAAATGACATGTACAATTTTCTTGTCATAGCCACAAATATCAGGCCCTAAGAAGAAAAGTAAAGAGAAAGGACTAACGTACCGAACATTATTTCATAGGGACTTTCGCCATGAAAATCTTCCGGTTTGAAGGATTCCCCCAGCAACTTCACGTAACCACCGCCGCAATCAATATTCTGCTCGTGCTTCACCGTAAATTGCACGCATATTGTTTTGTCTTTATTGGACAGGGGCTTATTAAATGGAGCTGAGTATCGGTAAAACCGAGCATCTTGCGACGTTCGCATTCCCCCATCTTCCTTATCATCAAAGCCTCCTTTCGGTTTTGCATATTCACAGAGACCCAAGTTGCTTTCATCATATTTGGACTTTTCCCATTTGTCAATGTTGCCCTCTGTGAATCGGTCCTCGAAATAAACCTCCCCATGAACGTTAGACAGACAAAACAATGCGATAACAAATGCAGATCCAAACATTATGTGTTACCCCACACAGAACTCATGGAAAACTGAAGCAACAGTTCCACACGATATTATTGGGCAAGGCATACAAGCCAATGAAACAGCAACAACACATCTAAATTTAGATAAATATAAACAAAGTTTACACACTCAATAATTTAGGAATACATCACAAGCGCTAGTCTTAAAAGTAATAATCTAGTACTTCGCAATCTGAACTTGTCAAGGTTGTGTTTTGGGGGTGATATACCGATTCGCATCCTTGTGTTCAGCAGAAAATACATGTAATTTACGAAAATTCGCGGAACAATTGGTGTCTTTGTTATCATATTAGTCTAGAAGCTAGATGAAATTGTGAGGGAAGTAGCGAAAATCGACTGATGAATAGTGGAACACTAAAAGAAACAAACATTGCACAAAAGTG